CATTGTTTATTTTATTTTTTAAAATTTTCTTCCCTAATAAAGAACTGTTATTCCTGCTCCCATATCTTTGCCTGAGAGCCCCCCCTTAATTTCAACATTATAACAATTCAGAGGGAGGGGGTTTACATTTTCCATTTCAGGGGAGGCTCCTGCCTTCCTTAGCAGACACCTGTCTTTTCAAACCAAGACAGATGCTATATATATAATGTTAAAGTAACTTTGCTATAAAGATATAGTTTTTAATTATCTTGTTAATTATGCTTAGACATAGTACTGAAATAGCTGATATAGATATGCTTGTGTTAAAATGCCTGCTTGGTTGGGATAATATTCAAGGAACATGTGATGAAGACCCCTGCTACTGATATGACTATCAACCCTTACCATCAGTAGAAAGTATGGACCAAAGCCCATAACTGGCAGTGATAAGAACGGACTAAAACCACAACCAGGAAACACACATGCTCTAAAAAGGTGGACCCAAAGATAAGCCATGCTAAACAGTTCTTGAAATGTGTAAATGAATTTGGGGAAAAGTTTAATATGCATAATTGTTTATGAGTATGTAACAGGCTGATGCAATAGAAAGGGTATATAAAGGGTGCTTCCAAAACAGCCGGTGTGCTCTTGGCTGAATGCCAAGAGGCATATGGCCTTAAATCTTTGTTTTATTGTCTTTGTCTCCTATTGTCCTTTATTAAACTTTTTAAATCTTTACAGGAAAGTGAACTTAGTTTTTTCCACACACTGGGACCTTACCTCACTAAAAGAGGGACTTTTCACTATCTGCTTGTGTGCCTCAGGGGAAAACCCCGGGATTCCGAGTCCACATTTCCCCTGCCCTGCTCGGAGCCGGGCTGTCGCTGCCCTGCCCCTGCCACTTCTTTGCCACTGCTCTGAGTCTTCGCTACACTGTAGCCCCGCACCCCAGCCTGCCGAGACATCCCGTGGTTCTCGCTACAGCTATAGAGTTTGATACATCTTGTCTATCACCTGGGATTGTTGCTCATTCCTGCTGGCCTAGCTTGCTGCTCCTGAGAGTCCTGCTGGGGTACTGGGATCAGCTGCCCCTGGGTGGTTGTGAAGCAAGCCTTTCTTCCATCCCTTCCCGTCTCAGTCAAGTCCGCCATTACCACGTGGTGTCTGAGCTCGTACCGGAGCACCCCCTGCAGCCGCGAGGAACTATCGCACTTGCCCTGCCCACCAAGAGCCCGCCAGCGCCCCTGCCAGCTGTGACCATCACTACACCAAAGGGGAAAGTGCCTGCGGCAGAGAAGGCTGTTACTGGGTTTCTGGTTCTGTTTGTTGTTGCTACCATAGTTATTGTTGTTTGTTTGCTTTGTTATATATACTAGTAAAGAACTGTTACTCCATTACTCCTTTTCTCATATCTCTGCCTGAAAGCCCCTTAATTTCAAAATTTAAATAATTTGGAGGGAAGGGGGTCATATTCTCCATTCCAAGGGAGGATCCTGCCTTCCTTAGCAGACAACTGTCTTTCAATCCAAGACACCTGTCTGCATGCTCATGTTGTACCTTCTCAAGTCCCTTGATTGGGGAGTGCACATATTATTTGAATTCTGAAAGTCATTTGTGGCAATCCCAGATATGAGCATAGATTGGGAGAAGAAGTCATTAAGAACAGCCCTGTGGAAAAGGACTTGGGAGTTCTGGTGGATGAGAGGCTGGACATGAGCCAAGTGTATGTTTGCAGCCCAGAAGACCAACCACATCCTGGGCTGCAGCAAAAGATGCATGCCAAGCAGGTCGAGGGAGGTGATTCTCCTGCTGTATGCCTCTCTGAGACCCCAACTGGAGTATTCTGTCCAGGTCCTCAGCACAAGAAAGACGTGGACCCAGAGGTGGCCACAAAGATGATCAGAGGATTGGTGCACCTCTCTCCTATGAAGAAAGGCATGGGATTGTCCAGCATGGAGAGGAGAAGGCTTTGGAGAGACCTCATTGCAGCCTTCCAGTATCCTAAGGGGCTTATTAAAAGGAGAGAGTGGGGTGTCGCAGACATCTTTCATGAAAAATCCTTTCTTAGGATTTTTCCTTGTGAGAAGCTGCAGTTTTCAGCAACCAAAGTAAACAATGGTTATCTGCTGCTGTGGAATGCAACAAGTGATTAGTTTCTTGTGAGTGTTTAGATTTCTTGACCACTCATGGCAGAGCTGGCTCTTGCTCTGTCTGAGACACAGATCTTTGTTATTCATTCTTTTTCTATTCTTAGCTTAGCTAGCTGCTGAAGAAACTTTTTCCTTTCTATTGCTTTTTAGTATAGTCTAATGTAACATATATCATAAAATAATAAATCAAGCCTTCTGATCATGGAGTCAACATTCTCGTCTCTTCTTCATCCTGAAAACCCTTGTGACCACAGTCACAGTGGGGCTCTTTATACAAGCAGATAGTGACAGGAAAAGGGGCAATGGTTTTAAACTGAAAGAGGGCAGGTTTAGAGGAGATGTTAGGAAGAAATTCTTTACTCAAACAGTGGTGAAGCACTGGAACAAGTTGCCCAGAGAAGTTGTGGATGCCCCATCCCTGGAAGTGTTCAGGGCATGGTTGGATGGGGCCCTGAGCAACCTGATCTAGTGAATGGCATATCTGCCCAAGGCAGGGGGCTTGGAACTAGATGATCTTGAAGGTCCCTTCCAACCCAAACCATTCTACGATTTTATGAAGTAGTGTTTTATGAAAGAAAATGTGACAAGCCTGAACAACCCCTCTTGGGTCAATCAAAATGTAGTTCAGATTTTAATGATGTTCTTTAATAAATTCCTTCAGCCATGATGGGGGTGAGTGAAGCAATGGGGGAAGACAGAGGGTTAAAATAGCTTCCCTGGTGTGAAGTGAGCTGTGAGGAACAGGTCCCAACAAGCCATCAGGTAAGTAATTCTTTTTTCAGACTTAATCTTCCATCTCAGTTTACAGTTAAGCACATAATCCTTCTTGCTTTGATATTTATACCTCACTCTACATCTTCTCTTTGTTCCACCAAAAACAGGAAAAAAAAGAGTAAGACTAGGCAGAGAGATTCAGATGTGTGTGAACCTTGTAGGTCCCTCTTCTCTTCTGGGAGAAGGTCAACTTCTGGTGTCATGGCAGGGCTTGGGATGGTGTTAAATAGATCCAGGTACAGGACTTACTTCCCTTACCCTGTATGACAGTCTAGCTGAATAAATGAATCCCAACAGTTTTTGGTGAGACATCATTTTGGAGAATGCTAAGGAAACTGGGAATTTACTTCACCTGCACGTTAGAAATATAGTCCTCCTGGGGGTTATAAATGCCTTGGAAATGACTGGAATTTACAAGATACTGCTGGAAACCAGACACTTCTAATCTGTTTCAAAAATGAGCTGGTCATTTATGGGTGAGCAGCAGGATGTGTCCCCCAGAGAGTTCCCAGGACCATAGAATCCTAGAATCATGGAATGTTTTGGGTTGGAAGGAATTGTAAAGATCCCTGCCAGGGCCAGGGACATCTTCCACTAGACCAGGTTGCTCAAAGCCTCATCCAACCTGGCCTTGGTAGGAGTTGCCATGTAGGATTTATGGGGAGCATCTGTTGTGTGTGAAGTCATGTTGCTGTCACAGCAGGGATGGTCCTGAAGCTGTGAGCTCATTTTGCCATTCAAAAGAGCAAATTGAAGTGAACCAAAAGGCAGAACTTCAGCTACATCAACTGGCTTCCACCTGCATCTACATTTGATATACCCCATAATCCTTCCGTACTGCCAACTCCTTCAGACAATAGATTCATGTAACTATTTTACAACCAATATGGACAGAAGTTTGGAGAATTACATTGTGACAGTGTTCACAGGGGTTTTCAGGTGAGGGAAGAGATGAGAATGTTGACTCTATGTTCAGAAGTCTTGATTTATTATTTTATGATATATATATTACATTAAAACTATACAAAAAAAGAATAGAAGGAAAAGTTTCATCTCAGAAGGCTAGCTAAGCTAAGAATAGAAAGGAATGAATAATAAAGGTTTGTGTCTCAGACAGAGAGTCCAAGCTAACTGGGCTGGGATTGGCGATTAATTATAAACATCTAAGATGGGCCAATCACAGATGCACCTGTTGCATTCCACAGCAGCAGATAACCATTGTTTACATTTTGTTCCTGGAGCCTCTCAGCTTCTCAGGAAGAAAAATCCTGAGAAAAGGATTTTCATAAAAAGATGTCTGCGACATTACATATTTTTTTATTGACTGCAAAGTCATTATACAATTCTATCACCTCAGATATGAGCACGGTAGAAATAACTGGATATTCCTAAAACAGACTTTATAAAGGCTTTATTGGATTCTAATTTGTAGTATGGGCTATAAATTGTTCAAGCCACAGTGCTCATACCAATGTCCCTGACACATTGGGCTACCCTTGAAGATGCTCTGTTTAATAAAGCAACTAACTCCGTGAGAGATCGCTTTCAAGCACTTTATTATGGTTGTATTAAGATGTCCACAGCCAATTGCCTTTGCTTTTACCACAGAGAAGGGAGATGGGCTCTGTTGAGGATGGTAACTGTCAAATCACAGAGCCTTTACCTCAGCGGGGAAACACACAACAAGGTATGAGGGAAAAGAGGGCACCACGTCCATCAGACGGTGTCTGTCATTTTTGTCTGTTTTGGGGCTCACCTCGTCTCACCGGACCTTAATTCAGAGCACCCCACCGTCCCAGGGCTCACCGAAGCGCTGAGGCGGCGGGGTCGAGGGCGGGGCCTCCTGACACCCCATCCATCCCTGGCGCCGCCCAGGAACCGGCTTTGCCGCCCAATGGCGATTCGGCGAGCGCGGGGCGGGATCACCTCTTCCCCGCTGATCCCTCTATTCTAGCGCCGTCTGTAGGCCTGCTGCGGGGTGGGTTATGGGGCAGAAGGCCTGCTGAGAGCGCGGCCCCTGGGGTCCGGGTCGTGCTCCTCACGGCATGGCGGCTCCGCGCCGCTAGACCTTGCCCGGCCTGCCGTGCCTCCCCCGCCATGCCGAGCAGCAGCGCCGCCGCGGCTTCCTGTGCCGCCGAGCTGCCGCGCCTCTCCCCCCCCCCCGCTGCCTCTGCTCCAGCAGCACATCTCCGGCCTCGGCTTCCGCGACCACGGCCTGCCCGCCGGAGGCAGCGGAGTGATGGGGGTGGCCCGGCAGCGGGCGGGCTTGGCGCCGCCGCCGGGCTCCCTCGGGGAGCCGAGGCTTGGCGGAGCGGGGGAGGCGGCGGCGAGGGGCGAGGGAGATCTGGAGCTGGAGGAAGAGGACGAAGAGGACCACTTGGCCGCGCTGCTGCTGCTCTCCACGTCTTCCTCGCCCTCCCAGCCGCTCCCGCTTCTGCCGGCGTTGGGATCCGTCCTGCTCTCGCCCGCTCTCGATGAGCAGGAGGTAGCGGCCGGGGCGCACGATCCTGAGGGCATGATGGCGGCAATGCTGTCCCACGCTTACGGCGGTGGCCTGAGTGGCGGCGGTTCGGTGGGCCTCAGCGGCGAGCAGACGGCGTTGCTCTGCGGAAAGAGCGTCAACACCACCGAGTGCGTGCCCGTGCCCAGCTCTGACCATGTGGCTGAGATCGTGGGCCGCCAGGGTGAGTGGAGGACTGGATGGGTTGTGGGGCGGCCTGGGCCTGCTGCCCTTCCCCGGGGTTCGTGGCAGGCCTATCCCCGCACGCCCCTGGGGCATGCTCCTTCGAGGCTAGCTGCAGGAGCCCCTTGCCTCGGTAGTAGCATTATGCCCCCTGGGGACGACCTCTCCCTCCCAGCCTCTAGCTTCCCCATGGGGTATAGGATGCTGGCACCAGGCCAGCCCAGCTTGAGAAGGCGAGAGCAAGGACTGGATTAGCTCAAACCTTCCATTTTTGTTCATCTGAGCTGTAAAATGCAGTAGGATAGCCTGGCAACGTACAGGTAAGTGTTGGCATAGGCTTTGCTTTTCAGTGACACTTGGCTCGTGGTCTTTAGTGAGAAGCTGACTTTCACTGTAGGAACTTAGTATTATGTTTTACAAAGATTTTTGAGTGAAGGGCTTTAATTTGCCTTGGAGAGCAAGGTATGGGCTGACACTGTTCCTACAGCTTTTCATGGTGCTCACCGATTGCAAAGACCTGAAGAGTCAACGAGATGGAGAAAGGAGCCATGTTTAGCCCTCCTCTGTGAAAGCCCTTGTCTTTCTGTTTGGGTTATGGCTTCCTGTTGATTGCTGTTGCTACACTCGGTGGGTCTCTATTATGTCATTCGGATGAGGTCATCAGTGATGTCACCATCATTCTGTGCCTTTTATATGGTCTTGTAGGAGTGGTGCTTGGAGGAGTTAGATGTTTTGCACCATCTTTCTAGTGGTGAACTTAATTTTAAAGGCCCTTTTTATATATTGGAAGAAGCACTGAGCAGTGTCAAGTGTAGGTGTGGAAACTCGGACAATGAAGTTGCCACTCTCTCTTCCCTTTCTGTGTTATTTTTAATTGTTTTGGGGGTGGTGTGTCTCCTTTGCTAATGAGCTTTGATAATGAGCAGTTATGCTGCCTAGTCTCTCTACACCAGTGTGGAATGTTTTTTTCCCTTGAGTATGGAAGAAATAGTAAGATTGGTCTAAACCAATGTGGTACTAAAGAAAGGCCCACTGAGCACCAATGCTTAGGCGAACTTGTTTTCTCTTTCTACATTTATTTTAGGTTTTTAGCAGTTAAGGGTGGGGTTTTTGCTGTATGTGTCAAAGGAGAATAGAAGGCTGTGCAGCAGAAATTTTCAGGTAGCTTCCTCTGATGCAGACAGGTCTGTTCTGTTCAAGCAGAAAATTTGTTTTCCAAGAAATGGTGTTTCAATGTCTTAAGACTATTCATGTGTTACTGGGGATGGTAGGCAGAGGAGAGGGGGGTGGGTGGAAAACAGAAATGAAAACTGCGATTGCTACAGTTCTCTAAAGAAATAAAAACTACTGGGCTTCAAGGACTGGTTAGGCTGCCGTGTTTATTCTCCACCAGATCAGGGTTGTTCTCTGTAGTATATTTTTCCATACTTTGAGTCACTTAATGACAAGATAATGGGGTTTGCATAAAAATAGGATCATTGTTCCTGAGGGTTCATTTGCTGCTTCTGCTTTTATTTTTTATCTGGTGTCATGCTGTTTGGCTTGTGATAAAATATTTAGCCTTGATGGGGAGGGATTTTATAATACCAAGAATTACAGCTACAAAAGAGGAAGGAGCAGGAGTAGAGGGAGCACTAAAAAAATTGTTACCAAATATACTTGCATGAAAACTTTGTGCAAGGAGGCCCTTCAAAATTCTCATTAATGGGAGACTTATGCTTAAAGACTGCCTCATGTAACTTGTATTAGTTCCACTAAATATTTGTCAAATGTCTTAAGACATACTAGTCCTTGCATCCCCTTTCATGGTACAGAACTCTGCTGGCTCATTGCATGGGTTCGAGGCTCTTGCTTTTTCATCCACTTGCTTTGCATGTGTCTGTGCCCTAGCCCACAAAGTGTTGTCAGTTGTAGTGCAGCTTGATCTGCCTTGAGCAAGGCTGGTCAGAGCTGCATCCTTCACAGATCATTCTGCTCTCTGTAAAAATGAAGATGCATATTCTCTTCCTAGCAGACATCCTAACCAGCTGGTTACATTATCATACTTTCCACTAGACCAGGTTGTGCAAAGCCCCATCCAACCTGGCCTTGAACACTTACAGGGATGGGGCATCCACAGCTGCTCTGGGCAACCTGTTCCAGTACCTCACCACCCTCACAGGAAAGAATTTCTTCCAAATATCTAATCTAAACCTACTCTCAGTTTGGATCCATTCCCCCTTGTTCTGTCACTACATGCTCTTGTAAATAGTCTCTTTCCATCTTTCTTGTAGGTTCCCTTCAGGCACTGGAAGGCCACAATTAGGTCACCCTGAAGCCTTCTCTTTTCCTGGCTCAACAATCCCAATTCTCTTAGCCTTTCCTCATAGGAGAGGTGCTTCATCCCTGTAATCTTGGTGGCCTACTCTGGACTCCAACAGGTCAATGTCCTTCCTGTGCTGGGGACCCCAGAGCTGTATGTAGCACTGCAGGTGGGGTTTCATGAGAGCAGAGGGACAGAATCACCTCTCTTGCCTTGCTGCCCTGGCTGCTTTTGATGCAGACCAGGATACAATTAGATTTCTGGGCTGTAAGTGCACATTGCTGGCTCATGTCCAGCCTCTCATCCTCCAGCACCGCCAAGTCCTTCTTGGCAGGGCTGCTCTTGATCTCTTCATCTCCCAGCCTGGATTGCCCTGACTCAGGTGCAGAACCTTGCACTCAGTCCTGTTGAACCTCATGAGATTCTCATGGGCTCACTTCTCAAGCTTGTCTGGGTCCCTCTGGATGGCATCCCATCCCTCAGGTGTGTTAACAGCACCACTCAGCTTGGTGTCATTTGCAAATTTGCTGAGGGTGCACTCAATCCCTTTGTCTATGTCATTAATGAAGATATTAAATAACACTGGTCCCTGTACAGACCCCTGAGGGACACCACTTTTCACTGATGTCCATCAGGACTCTGAGCTGTTGACTGCTACCTTCTGGATGCAACTGTCCAACCAATTTCTTATCCATTTAACAGTCCACTCATTGAATCAATCTCTTTCCAATTTAGAGAGAAGGATATTGTGTGGGACTCTGTCAGAGGCCTTACAGAAGTCCAGATAGATGACACCTGTAGCCCTTCCCTTGTGCACTGATGTAGTCACTCCATCATAGAAGGCCACTAAGTTGGTCAGGCAGGACTTGCCCTTGGTAAAGCCATGCTGGCTGTCCTGAATCACCTTGTCTTCCATGTGCCTTAGCATAGCTTCTAGGAGGATCTCTTCCATGATCTTCCCAGGATTATCTTGAATGAATTCAGGTAAGTTTTATGCCAGACTCCTCTGTACTGCAGTACTTTAATTATGTAGGGGTGATGAGATTGAAATGCTACTTCTGATAGATTTCCACAAAGATTAGGTTTATATTCTGTTTCTGTCTGAGGTATAAAAAGAACTTGAATGTCTGCAGTCTAAAAACATCAGCTCTGAAATACCAGGAATGCTGAGTTTGAGTTAGGCTTTGCTTGAGGCCTCATTGCTGTGTCTGAGAGCATGTTTTTTGTAAGTCCTAACTGAAAAAGTAATGATAACCAGAATTCCACAGTATTCTTTATCCAAATTTAATTTTTTTGCACAGTGGAAGAGACTCTCTAGACACTTTATCAGACCAAAGGAGCTTCTGAGTCCTAAGCAAGCTGTAAACAAGCAAAGACCTTATGGTGCACGCATTTAACGTTTTTTCCATTGTGTGTGAGTTTCAGAAATAAATACAGCACTTAAGGCAGTGGTGTTCCCACAGCCCTGCTCTAGGTTTCTGGATTCCAGATTAGAATCATAGAATGGTTTGGGTTGGAAGGGACCTTCAAGATCATCTAGTTCCAACCCTCCCCTGCCATGGGTGGGGGTGCCTTTCACTAGATCAGGTTGCTCAGAGTCCTATCCAACCTGGCCCTGAACACTTCCAGGGATGGGGCATCCACAACTTCTCTGGGCAATTTGTTCCAGTGCTTCACCACTGTTTGAGTAAAGAATTTCTTCCTAACATCTCCTCTAAACCTGCCCTCTTTCAGTTTAAAACCATTGCCCCTTTTCCTGTCACTATCTGCTTGTATAAAGAGCCCCACTCTCTCCTTTTAATAAGCCCCTTAGGATACTGGAAGGCTGCAATGAGGTCTCTCCAAAGCCTTCTCCTCTCCATGCTGGACAATCCCATGCCTTTCTTCATAGGAGAGAGGTGCACCAATCCTCTGATCATCTTTGTGGCCACCTCTGGACCCACTCTAACAGGTCCATGTCTTTCTTGTGCTGAGGACCTCAGACCCCTGGATGTGATACTCCAGGTGGGGTCTCAGAAGGGCAGAGTAGAGGGGGAGAATGCTGGGCATGTCTTTTGCTGCAGCCCAGGGTCTCGTGTGGGCATTTTTGCTGGCAGCTGTGCACAGATGTGGGATGCCACAGCTATAGAAGTTGTGGAGTGCTTGAAATGTACTTTGTGGTTGATAGTTGAAACTATGTTAGAGGTTGCTGGGTTACTGTGACAGTAGTTCAACGTGTTGCTGCTGGAAGCATTTACATCACTGGAAAAGGATTAAGACTTTAATGAATAAGTTTAGTGCTCCTTAAAAGTTGTGTATTATTTCTAAAACATGGCAGATTTTTGTGCCTTTTTTTTCTTTTTTTTTTAATGTTATTTTTATTAATCTTAAATGTTCTCAGCCTTTTCTTATTCCCCTTGCCCCTCGAGAAATGAAGTTGACAGACACTTTTTGAGGTAGTGCAATATATTTCTTTGTAGTCTTTGAGGTAGCAAAATCTCAAAAGTGAACAACAAAGGAAAATATTTTTGTATCCTTTTATTCTTTTAAAGGCATGTGACTAGGAGCCAAGAAAACTAGATTCTATTCCTGGCAGTGTATAGGCTTCCTGTGTGAATTTGAACTAGCTGTTGAATCCACCCTTTGCTAACTTGGCCAGTCATCATGCTGAGCAGAAAAGCTACTTCCTTTGCTGTCAGCAGCTAAAAATCCTGCATGCA